CCTTTTGTATTAGAGGAGACATTTACACAGCTGGCCTGCTCAGGCCACCACCTGCTGAGAGTCAGCCTTGGCTTTAAATATAAGAAATAAAAAAACACAGCTGACAGCTACATGAGCCCAACCCTGACTGTGCTGTGAGATGTGTCTGTCTCTAAAAATACTAACCCCTCACCTTAGGAGGAAGATGTTTGATGAGATGAGATGCGTTTGTAGGAAGAGGGGGTGAAATACTGAGATTATTGTCAAGAGGTTAATTGAGTTTAGTCACAGATAAGCAAATCAGTAGCTGTATAACACGATGGCAGAGGGARGAGAAATTACACAGCCTTAAGCATCGTTTTCATCAGCTTGTTTCATATAAAAGATTTCTTTTAAGTTACATTATACCACCTCATGATTTGATGTTTTCTATACATTTATATATGTATACACATGCATATTTGTCTGTCTCTCTGTTAGCTAAATATCTCATCAACTAGAGGACAAATTTTAAAGCACTCAGAAAATAATTACTGGATGTACAACATCAACTCAACTCAAGATGGCCACTACAACTTTAGCAAACACAAAAATGTTTTTAACTCAGTCATTTTTACAAACACTGAGGTGAAATTTGGTGTGGTAGTAGCTGAGAGTTATCCCCTTACACACCTCCAAGTGTTAGCAAATTAATCAAGACTTTTGTTTACAATTTTGGTATTTATTCTTGTAAAAAACAGTCTTATTTCCTTTTTAACTATGGTTTAGATTGTTTTAATTTGTTTCTTTTGCGAAGGAGCTATGTATGGTTTGGATGTGTGCGGAGGCTGAACAAGAGTCAGAGAATCACAGTTATTGGGGAGTGTAAAAAATAACACCTGCGTTTAACACAACATTATCAGATATTTAATAACACAACAGTTATATTTTATATTTTAATGCCCCTCGAGTCACATATTTTGCAGTAAAGAGATGGATTCTGTGCAGGGGATGAGTAGAATAACACATTTCAGGAGAATTGTCTTATAAAAACCTTCTAAAAAATCCTATTTGAATCAAATCACATTGTAATCCTCATATTTAAGACAGGATTTATTTTTGGTAATTTTTGCCTTCAGAAAGGTCAGTTCAGTACATCTGATTTAGCATTTACCAAAACCCAGACACTGACATCCACTTGTCAAACATGACCCAGTTTGATGATGAATCATAATGATGATATTCAACCTGATTCAGTCTGATGCTCATGACAACATTTTTGGACCAATTTGTCACGAGACATTAGCTAGAAAAAAAATGCTGTGCTGTTAGAGAGCAGACGTGGAACAAAGTAAAGGAAATGTTATATTTAATGAGACTTGATTTCTTTTAGTATCTAAAGCTACATCCTGTGATCCCAGTGAACMATGACGGGATGTTTGTTAAATGCACATGTCTAATTGCTCTTCATAGGTGTATCATTTAAAGCTGTGATTGAATTACTTTTGAATCCATATTACATAAAGATAAACAGGAAAATCATCACTTTTTATATTGTTCAGTTGTGGGAATGAGCTTTGTTTCGAGCCACTGGCTTTTCTGGGCGGTTTTTACACACAGAGGACAAACTATTGTTCTTCAGTTTGCGTTTCAGCAGTCCAGCCTTTGCACAGATGACCTACAATGAGCTGAGATAAATCTGCCTATGGGGCTATATTTAACCTTAACATCACTGATGGAACTCCTCAAAAAACAAGACTTTGCCTACTCATCATTCAAAAAGTCCTTCATCCTAAACATCATAAATGTAAAGAAAAAGGCAGGACAAGGATTTTAGAATACGACAGTCATGTTCAAAGCTGAGGAATTAGAAAAGAAAGGAGAGAAAATTGCTCTTACCTGGGCTCCCTGCCCCTCCCTGTGCCTCCATGCAGCTCGGCCGAGGGTGCTCCACTGTTCACACCAGCATCGGACACACAGAGGGAATAATAGGCAAGGGGGATGGATGCAACTGAGTGTGCATATGACAGAATAAAACAAGGGTGGAGATGGGTGGACAAGAGACCTATAAGCTCTACTCTCTTCCTCCTCCTCCTTTTTTATTTAATGTTTTTTGCCTACTCTTGTTTAAAATGCCCCAAAGAGGTGACGATGAAGGTTTTCCTGCTCCAGCTCAGTCCACCTGTCCTGCTCTGCCATCAGAGCTGTGTGAGAACTCTGCTGCAGACAGGGTGGTCTGGGAACAGCAGCATCGCAGCAAATCTCTGAGCCACTCGGTTCAGTTCATGCAGCATTGTGAGGCTTGGCTTGGTGTGTGAAAAAAAAAGAAGAGAGAGATCCAGGGCAAAAAAAAAAAGGGGGGGGGGGRGAGAAAGGGAGGGCAGAGCTGGCAGCCTGCCCAGACTGCAAGACAGAAAGGGGTGTCAGGAGGGAGAGGGGCTTCTGGGGTAGTGAAGCTGTGTATGGGTGTGGGGTTGATTAAGTACCCCCGGCATGTGTGTGTGTGTGTGAAGATGTGCATGAGTGTGGCATACCAATCTACAGACTTAAGCTGTCAAACCTAATGTTGAATCCTACCAGCACAGGTTGGGTGTCTACATTTTTAACAAGATATCGTGCAATTAAGATTAATTTTAATCAAACTCAATTTGTGAAACAATGCCCATACCATCAGACGAGCAGGAAACGATGCTGCTCTTGTTCAGGAGGGAATAAGCAGGTAGATGTCTCCCTCTAGTGGTAGAAAYATGTCCCTTCATGAGAAAAACACACAAACATCTATTTCAAACTGGCAACAAATGTTGTAGCTACAAAAATACTTATGTAAAAAAAATAACTAACTGTCATTATTGTTTTATATTTAGCAATATGTAGCTTAAATTTAATTGTTTGACTAAATGTTTGTAATGATGCAAGTGTTTTGCTAACTCTCAGGCATGAGGAAAAACGTTTTTTTTTWTGATTACTTTTTACCACGTTTTATCAAAATAAAAACATTTCTTGTTAAAGAGGACGCAAATGTTAGCAAAAAGCGTTTCACAAAATGGTGATAAAATCCTTTAATATAAAAACTACCTGGTGAAATCAGAGGTAAATRTTTTCAGCTGCGTGTCAGCGCCACCTTCGCGTTTTGTAAAGGTTGTCCGTCTGAGCCGCCGTAGAGGCGATAACTATGACAAGCAGCTGTTTCTGCATGTTAGCGCTCACGTGGAAGCTTTCACAGCGCAGTCAGCTTTTATAGAAACTATCTCCAACTCTTTATATGCAATGGAGTCTGTCATTAAGATAAATCCAGGTAGGTACGATGTTTGCAGTGTAAGTTTTAGCGAGGAGAAGTAGCGATTTCACGCGCTGCTAAATGTTTTAAAGCTAATATGTTGCTTTCGTGTCTGCCTTTTAAACTTAAGCCTCATGCGGGGTTTCTTTAACCTTCTTCTACTTATACTTCCAGGGGCGWCAAAATGGGACATTCGTCAGAAAGTGTGGGACTACATCGAAGAGAAGAACCTAGCCAACTTCCCGAGGCCTGTTCATCACAGAATCCCAAACTTTAAGGCAGGTTAAACGCAGTTTTAAAAACCCTGGGGAGGTTTTTCAGCAACTAATGGTGGTCCTGTGCATGCATGTAGGAAAGGTCTATTTTTAGGACCATTAAAAATAGACTGGAACAGATGTTTATCAAATTTTGTCAGRAGATGTTTTTTTAAAGCTCTGCAAACTGACGCTTAATATAAAGTTTTTTTTTTCTGAGAAGTTATCTGTCAGATTAAACTAAAACATGTTTGCAGTTTGAATTTCAAATTAAACTTTCCCCTTTTATACCAGGATGTGATGGCACATCATCAGTTTTTAACTAGATCAAATTTATTTTTGCTGATTAGAGTCAATACTTAGTGTCACAGCAAAAACAGCTAAGGTTCTACCTGAGGATATTAGAAATTGATGTTTATTAATTTTTTACTGGGTCATAAATAAGGTAAATACAACTGCAAGTGAACAATATGTGCCACATTATAAGCATTTTTAATTAAATGACGAACAAGTGGGATTTAATAAAACTTTAATAACTCCTACAGACAATTTTTATTTTTATTTTTTTATTCTTTATTTTACCAGGAGAGAAAAAATACTAACCTGGCCAAAACGAGTAACAAAAAATAAAGTTTCATAAAACAAACTTTAACAACAATGCAGTACTAATGTTACAATAAAATAAAATAAAAATCTTTACCTTTCAGTGTAGACCAAATATCTATTCTCTTCAGTGATGCTGATAATCTGATCATCGGCAAATGCAAACACTTCTGTTAATGCCACGYTCACAGAAGTTTGCCAGCGGACAGCTTATTTGGTCAGTGTATCTTTTGGTCATTGGATTTTCATTTTAGAAACGGGTATTAAAAATCAAGAAGTGATTGGATATTTTATTTTTGTTTTAAAATACTGAAATTAAAATTAAAATATAAAGCGTTTCTCGTTCTTAGTGTCAAAAAGGGATGAACGAAAATTTTAAAATGATTTCAGTTTCATTTTCTGCTTCAGATAACAAAATAGAAAATTAATTTAAGGCAGAAATGAAAAAAAAAGGCTTGTTTGTTCATAATCCATGACAGGTCGTGCCAACTTCCTGTCTCCCTACAATAATCTGTTTCACCACCAGAAGGGTTGTCTGCAATATCAAAGTTACTCAATAAACATCCCATTACAAGTAAAAAGCGTTGATGTTTACTTTGGTAGCAAATAAATTTGCCAAGTATTTATTTGGTATCAGATCAATATCAAAGTCGTAGTACCGCCCACACTTCGATGAAAGGAAAAATCTAAGGACGCAAACTGACAGGGAAAAAAAACAAGCACAGATTTTGTCAAAACTCAGGAGGGAAAAAAACTTTTTTTTTTTGCCGCTTCAGTAGAAAGCAGAACTGAGTGTCAGTTTTTTAACTTCTTCATCATCAGTGACATTTTTTCCTTTTTTTCCCTAAAAAAAAAAGGGAAAAAAAACCTTTGTGCTCACAGAACAACAACTGTACAACACACTAATAGAATGAAATTTATCTTATTTTGCTTTTTATTGAGAAAAATGGAGATGAAACATGGAGGCAGTAGCCGACATGTATTCAGTAAAAGAGACTTATTTGGCCAAAAGCCACATGAATTATCTCTGCARAGCCTTTGGTCACTGAGCAACAGTCATCATACAACTCATTTATGGACATACTTCTCTGTGTTTCAGCCTTTTATTTACAGAAATTAGTATTTAACTATGCAGAGCTGTCAGGTGAGCGCCCCTTCTGGTGGGGGAATAAATAGTCGTAGAATACAAACAAACAAGCCTTTTTCCTTTTCTGTCTTCAAGTAATTTTCTTTTTTTCTATCTGAAACAGAAAATGAAACTCAAATCATTTTTAACATTTTGTTTATCCCCTTTTAACACTAAGAATGAGAATGGATTTGTATTTTAATTTTAATTCCAGTATTTTAAAACGAAAATCAAACATCCACTCATTTCTTGTTTTTTTAATACCTGTTTCAAAAATGAAAATCCAATGACCAAAAGATACACTGACCTTATTTGCTCTGAAGCAAGATGACTGCATAGTTTCAAAGTTGCACATGAACAAAACATGACATAAAAACAAGACTAAAGAGGAGATGTCAGAGTTTTGTGAGGAAAAAAAACGCATCGTTTCTACACAAACGCCTCAGATCAGTTGTCAGATTTTTCAGCACCTTACACTGGGTCGACCACAAACTCCTCTGTAATCCAAAGTATTTTGAGTCAAATTTGAGGCCATCTGGTTGACATCTGAAGCTTAAGTTTTACATCTGGRTTTACAACAGGATGGTAATCTCAAACACACTAGCAAATCTACAATAATACAGTTTTGAAAACTGAAGCATAGAAGTGATCCAGTTGCCTAAAGTGAAGACCGGATTGAAATGCTGTTAAGACCTGAAGAGAAAATTAATAAATTAAATCATATCAAACTCCAAGTAAGTGATGCAACATTTTAATGAAGAGTGAACCAGAGCTTCTCCACAATGGCCTGAAAAATGTATAACATGATTGTTTTAATTGGTTGTTGTTGCTAAAAGGCAGTTGAAGTGATGCACTGGATCTGAATTTTGGTTCGTTTTAGTAAATCAAAAACACCTGACGTTAAATTTAGCTGATTTTATAACATGGTAAGAAGCAGGTTTTATTTAATGTAAAGCAAAATTATGAGGATTTTCTTCTTATGACTTTTTTCACAATACAACAATATCCAAATACACCAAAAAAACTTAATTAAAATAATAAAAACAGAATGAGTTTGTCAAAGTTTAACGGCCTTTTGACAGATGATCCAGAACTCATTCTATTCAGTAAGCTCTTATTAATTATTGCAGATWTATTCTCTGTGCAATCATGACTGTTGCTCTTGTTTTTTCCTTTTAAAATCTATACATTTGCATTTATACAATAACCCCTGCAAGGAATCAGACTTGCACAGGAATATTTGACTGATCTTCTTGATTTTTAATGTTTGTGCACTCATTTTGTTTTCTTTCATATCTGAATAATAATCAAGAGTGCAAGYGAAGCATGCAGCAGGCTTCTAGAGCTGCAGGAGTTCAAGTCCAGCCGGACAGTGAAAGTAAACCCAGACAAACCCCAGCAGCAGGCGCGCTTTGTCACTCTGGAAGTAAGTTATTTAAAAAAAAAAAAGCTACTATGAAATGCTATATTTTTTTTCTTTAGGGTGCTTTCGGAGCCTGCTCCAAAGTGACGGAGCTGCAGGTGTTCAGCGAGTCAGCTGAGGTGAAGGTGGATCCTGATAAACCTCTGGAAGGAGCTCGACTGGCAGTGCTGCAGGTAGCAGTGGCTACGGTTACAAAGTAAACACAATGATGAGGTTTCTCACTGGTCAGTGTTTAGATCAGCAAAGTCAATGATCAATTTATAAAACAGACTTTATTTATCATTTGAGCCAAACATAAAACTATTTTGTATTTATGTTCTTGTTGCAAAGTTATCTTTAACTTTCCTCTAAAAGTAACGTCTTGTCTAATAGGAGATGAGATATTGGGATTTTACATTTTTTACTAATAGATGTGAGCTTGTTCTATAAAGGTATGGATAATCTGGACCACTTTTTGATTTTCGTGTTTTATAAAATCACTCTTACTGTCAGAGGGAATCATCTCATGCAACTCATTGATACACGAATGTGATGTAATTTAACACTAAGAGATTCAGTTTTTGCTCAGAAAACTGTTTTTGTGCTTGAACCATTTCTTGTTGGTTTGTTTACATCTTCTGATTCACTCAACACCAGCATTAGTTTCYATCTGTTAAATTAATTAATTTTTTAGCAATCACTCAGCAGATTTGATCAAACTGTCTAAATTGTCAGTCGTGTTCAGTAATTGAATCGTTCTGTTTCTTGTTTTTTTTTTTTTGATGGACTTTGCAGGCACAGAAAACCTTACTGGTTCCAACTCCTCGTCTTCGCACCGGCCTTTTCAATAAGATCACTCCTCCCCAGGGGGCAAACAAGGAACAGCTGCGCATCTGCTCTTCCTCTCAGGTTCTTTTAAACCCTTACGTCAGCATTTTTGACACACAATATTAGAACCTCGAACTCACATTGGGATTGATTAAATCTTGGTTTCGTAAAACGTGCTGCAGGGWGTGAAGGACTTCAGCGCGCCTGTTGACTTGGATGCGAAGGTGAAGGTGGACCTGGTGGTGGTCGGCTCTGTGGCCGTGTCCGAGAAAGGTTTGTTGGTGCCAGAAATTTACAATCTTGTCTCCATCTTTTTCGTTTGTTTTCTTTTTGTTAATAACAGCAATTCTATTTTAAATAAATTTGATTTAGGAACAGATKCATTAATGAACCATTAAACATTTATTGAGCCAACATGTTCAGTAGTACATTCCTTCCATTATGCAGATTTTTAAACATCACATTGAACAAAAAAGCAGAGGGTTTGTCCAGTAACTCTGTTCTTAGACATGGACTCTGGAAGCTTTGAAATGTTTCCTGTGGGCTTTCTTTATTACGCTTTGAAACATTAAAGGAGATCATCAGGAAAAATAATATTCTCAGAGCTCTTGTGAAATATTCTGTGTGCATCCCAGCATGTTTTTTTTAAACCACTGAGGCATCCAGACGCACACTGCAGGGGGATGTGACGAACAGAAATAAAGAGGAAAAGAATCTACTGTTCCATTTCCTTTTTATGCACACGTTCTCATTATTTATAATTTAGTTAGAATTATCTTATTGATGAGCTGCTGGAGAGCTGTAGGAAAACAGTTCATGATTCCTGTAATGTTTCCAAATTTTACATGTTTTTAAAAGGTTTAATAAAAAACACTACTTTTTCTCTCTTTCAGACTGTTTAATTACTTTAATATATTGAAAAGTTACTGCAGATTGTACTGTTTTATGGTTATCTAGTGTTTTTAATGCTGTGTACTTAAGTGCTTTGCTTTGATAGAGTTCTGTTTTTAATTTTGTTTTGATTCCTGTAAAGTGTCTGAGTTTTTAGAAAAGCCCTTTACAAATCATGAATTTATTTTGTTATTTACCGTTATTTTATGT